GCGTTTAAATGAGGTTTCTACGATTTTTGGTTCTCGAGATCATCGTGTCAGAAAACGACGAAAATGATGCGTACGATCTCAAGTAAAAAAGAAATAAAAAAAAAAACTCGCGACGGATAACATAAATGCTTCTGCTTCGCATCGCATTAAAAAAACTCGCGACGCATAACAGAAATGCTTCCTGCTTCGCATCGCATTAAAAAAATAAAAAAAGCTCGCGACGGACTACATAAATGCTTCTGCTTCGCATCGCATTAAAAAAGAACGAAAGAAAAATAACCATAAATGATACAATCCCTCTTCGACGCGCTCACATGTGAACGTAATGTTAAATGAACCATACGATATCGAACTAGTATAATATAATCTACAAATTAATGAAAAAGCTGGTTGCATCAATGAAAAAAAGAGTATATCAGGTTCACACTCTGAAGTGGTGTTACACTCTCATCATTGTCCTTACATTAACGCTATTTATCATTTATTTTCTAATTATTAAATGTACATCATATACTAATCAACCATCACTTGATTGTAAAAGTTTGTGTCCTTACAAAAGTAACCAAACACGTACTCATCTCGTGTTTGATTCAAAGCACTTTATTCAACATTATCCTGAGTTTATTTGTCAATCAAATTTTCGTAATCTAGCCGATTGGGTTTACGGTTGGCCTAATCAGTTTCAAGAATATGTGGAAGTAACAACTACCAATGGACAACGTATCGCTCCATGCTTACCTCATGGCAGCATAATCTATGTTAGTATTTGGTCTATTGGCGTCTTTTTTAATCTAGTTTATCCACACTTAATCAATGATTTCGTTTTAATTACTGGCGAAGGTGATCCATCCTCACCAGATATGGGTCATTTAGAGCGAGCTGATTCCAAAATTATTCATTGGTTCGGTCAAAATGGAATGATTTCATCTTCAAAAAGCAAGAAATTTACACATATTCCCATTGGTGAGCTTTGCCTAACTATGGCATATAAGGATTTTTCATATGACCGAAGAATCGTAGTTGCATTTAGCTGGATTATGAGAAAAGATTACTGATGAATATGCAAAATCATTATTTCATAGTATTCAAAAACTAATTGATAGTAAAAATTACATTTTCAATTGCTAACTTTAAAATATTTTTCAAAAGGACTTTTGTGTTCCCAGAGATTTTGAGTTGACGCACACATGGGAGGCTTCATTTCGTTCAGCTCAGACTGACAGTCTATCCTTGACAAGTAATTCTTAGTGTAGGTTCAGTAAAAACTTTCTTTTCATTTCTACAATAGGAATTCAATGCTATGAAATGGTTGTAGCAATTAAAAATGTTTATAAACAACAAAATAATCGTTTATTGCCACAAATCTATGGTGATACTGACGAACCATTGAACTATATTCTGCCGATTGATATGACTAGTCGAGCACTGATTCAGAAGCAAAATCTTAATAGGGAAAATTATTTGTTAATAAATTTTAATCTCGATACTGATGGAACAGGACTTCGTCGACATATTTGGATAAATATGTGTTCAAAGAAGCATCGAATTCCATTTGTAAAATGTCTACAAAAGACACCTGGTGTTCAAACGAAAGAACTGTCGAATATATATTCACGAAATCGCCAATATTTATTTTGGTTATCGCCCCGTGGAAATGGAATCGATTGCCACCGTACATGGGAAGCGTTGTATCTTGATGCAATACCGATAGTTTGGAATTCGTCATTGAATAGTCTTTATGAACATTTGCCTGTTGTGATTATTCACAATCATACAGAAATCACTGAAAATTTTTTACAAGAAAAATTACACGAAATATCAATGAAGAAAAATAATCAACTGTCACAGATCTATCGATTTGAAAAATTAAGAATGGCATATTGGCGTCGGTTGATTTTAAACAAATCAAGACATTCATTGATGAATAGCCATATACGAACAAATCGATGTTGGCAAGCTAGAACGGGAACTGATTCCTTCCTATCTTCACTGTTTTCATAGAAAAGAAAGATGATGAGTGGTATAAAGATATTTTAACTGAAAATGCATCTATCTGCACGAAGTAGTTGTCTTGTCTATCCATTATGTGAACACATGTTTGCCGAATCGCCATTGCAGTGAAGAGAAGGTCACTACTCACATCCACAGCACCGCTTTTTCTTTCATGTATTTTCAAAAGAATCACGTGCCAGTTGTAAAAGAAAGAGAATGCAAAATTCTGTCAGCAATTATAAGAGTCTTTTTATGCCTACAATTCTGCCAAATGCAAATATTCGTTCTGGATTTTTCTCACTGCATTACTAAAAAAAGGAATAATCTCATACAGACCAGTTACTCTAAAGAAAAAGAAACTGGTGGCAGCTGTAACATTATTTACATCCTTTGAAAACAAAAATCAATGACATTTAGACGCTTGATAATTTCAGATTACTCATTTTTTCGATCACCTGAATTCACAACAACAATATAGCAGTGTTAAAATGGAAGATGCTGAAAATGAACTTGCTCTATTGAAACAAGACATTGAATGCATGCAGAACACTGCTATAAATCATCCAATATTTGCTCAAATCAGTGAGTGGGAACAAGAATCAACGAACAAAATTCAAATTGCATCAGACATAGCCCGTGCTGATCTTTTTCAGTTGCTTGCAGAGAATGCCAACCGTCTTGAATCTGACTTTAATCGAATTGCACAACAAATTCAATCCCATCACAATTCAGATTATTCTAAGGATGATTGCGATCAACGGATCGATGAGATAAAAACATGTCGACAGAATATTTCCAAAACGTTACAATCTGTGAAATTGACAACTGATCACAAAATGAAATCTATTCAGTTAATAAAAATCACAGAAAGTGACAATCAACAAGGTCCAGCGCACAACAATGATATAACAATATCAAGTTCTTTAGACTCTGTCCCTTCGTCTGTTATGGATCTCTCTCATGATGTTGATAAAATCTTGAGTAAACGATCTGAATGCTTCGAGAAAATAGCTGGTAACGCTGAACTCGACGAAAACTGTCTGGTCGCAAAGAAAACAGATGTTCCTTCAGCAAGTATTCGCGGAACAATATTGTATTCGACGGGCACTCATCAGATTCGATTTCGAGTCGAACACTTGAGTAACAAGAGTATTTTTATTGGAGTAACTCCATCAACTGAGCAGATGACAACAACTTCCTTCAAATTACCCTCAAGTTTTGGTTGGTGGGACACAAAATTTCCAGTTATTAGAGGTATTCAGGTTGAAAGTGGTTCTTTTTCAATGCTTGCAGGTGATGAAATATCATTGACAATCGCTTGCAATGAAGCTAGACTTGTTTATCATAACAAGAGAAGTGGACTTCGTTCAATGTCAGTGAATCTTGACTTTTGCCCGCTTCCATGGCAACTTCTCGTAGTTTTAGGTGCAGGTGAAAACAAAATACGCATTCTGCCATGAATTCAGAACCGTTGAATTTAGATCGTATAATTCATTTTTGCGATCGATATACATTGTGTGAGAGTTTTTGACATGATTACTAATAATCGAATTAACAACTGATATAAAGAGTTTAGTCCAGAGACATGTTGATCTGTAGCGTCAATCATTTCTACATCAGTGTCTATAGCTTGCAATACTGTCACACTTAACAACGTAATCTAATTGTTCGATAGTAATAGAAGTTTTTAGACTTCTTGTCTTCAGTATCAATTACATGAATAGTAATAGTTGTAGATTTAAGTTTGCTTTCAATGTATATTATATCGATTCTCTGATGAAGACGGCTCATCTGACTCTGTTGATATTTGAATTCAGGGAGCAAATGTAAGTAATTGTGTAAGTGTAATATCGCTTAAAACAAAAGTCATCAATATAAAAATTCAGTGGCAATGAAAACGATTTTTACCTCATCTAAAAGTAAACATACATCTAACTTTTGTTCTTCATTATCACAAATAGTTTTTTTAGTTAGACGAACTGGTGAATACCCTCCATCAAGGTCATTGATTGCAAACATTCTTGAAGACGCTCATATTTCTGGTCTGATTGATATAGTAGTCAATTGAGACAATATTTTATACGATCAAGCATTCGGTAATTAGTCACCTGCAATTATAAATTCACATTTGCCGCATCTGAACAGCTCGACCTAGATGAACATATCAATATCTACTAATCACTCTTGCCAAGACTTAATGAAAAGTTGAAGAAGCTCCAATTACCAGGGTACGATGTGGTTGATATGTTTTTGAGTAAAGCCGAAAATTAATTGTCAAACACGTCCCGTACGGTAACATTCTATTCTAACGCGAGAGCGACTTTAGTTGCTTTAATCGTGATGCAGGCTATCGTTTAAGTAACTTTGAATATAGAAAGAATGATCTCGTAGAACATTAAATATTCAATGGATCGTTCCTACCAATATATCAAATTGATGTAACTCACTTAAATCTTTCTCAGATAAGAAGATTAGTTGTCCATTATTTTTCTTTTTGATGAAATATTCGTTAGGATACCGTTAGAAGTTTCTATCATATACTATAGGGAACCTATGAAAAGATTCATCAGTAGTTCATCAAGCGTCTACTAGCATTATGGCTTAACTATGTGATTGTTTCAATACAACTGAATGTGCAACACATCATATTTTTCTCTTTATTTTATTAACAACTCTCTTTCGATTTCTGTATGCTTTACCAAATCGTTCAGAAATTACCTATAAAAATGTTGACACACTCATGTAAAAGAAAAAACAAATAAGGAACAGTTACGGTGAAACTCGAATAACTTCAATTCTGTAAAGTTATGATCTATGGTACTATATGGTATACCTCATCTCGCATGCAAAAATGTAACTCTGAAAACTATGGTCACATGTTAATCTATTTAATCTGAACTAACTATCATAAGATCAATTGTGCTCTCTCGGCGAAAACTATTCGTGAAAGATGGAAAGATCTTATAGTTACACAAGCCTTGTATGTAATCGATTTTGGTTTACTCTGCTTCGATATACAGAAAAATTAGATAGACAGACGCGAGTCAGTAAAAATGCTGGTACATACACTTTTAAATATCAATATTGGTCGGTGATTGCTTTTAATAATTGTCTAAAGGAATACTTTAGTTTCAGATATTCTTGATATATATTGAACGAATACTAACTAATTATATTAACATTCAAACACTGATGAATTCAAAGTATTGTCGTTGAATTTTAATATAAAATTTAAAAGAGAATGAAGATATCTATCACAAGTATTATTTTCATGGTTTTCTTTTATATTGAAATTTAACAACGATATCGTTAGAAAAGATATTTCTTTTGAGCAAAACTACTGTAACACTTTTTGTTCATAAGACAGACTCAAAACGTTGCTATTGACTGGTGCCAAGATTTTTAAAAGGCCATTTTCTCTTAAGAATTGCATTCTGCTTTCAAGGAAGTATTACGTGAAGGAATTTCATCTTTTTCGTCGCTAGAATACCAGTCAATGTTTCTTTTTAACTGATCATCAAATTATTCTACTAAACTATAGTATTTGTAAGTAATTTAAACACTATCTTAATTACCCATTGAGTAGTCAGGTTGTAGCTGTAAAAAGGAGAAAATTACTTGTTAACGGCATTCTTATGGCAAAATGAATATTAATTCAGTATACAGATAGAAACTCATCCTTTGTAAAGAACTCATAAAGAAGAAACTAATAAGTTTAAAATTCTCGTGTAACTAATTATGTAAGTATTATCATTTAGGGATTCTTAAGTAGCAAGCAAGTTCGAAGAAAACAAAGTTAAAAAGAGAAATGAATGAATCATAGCCTTTTATAAATTGATCAACGAATAAAATTATAATGCGAATATGACGGCAAAAAAATGTTTTTTAGAAAATTCATTGTGCTATGCATAGCTCACGGAAATGCAACTACGTATTATCAAATGGCATTTGCACATTCGATCAATGTAAAAGAAAATTGATCAATATCATAAAATATATCGCAAGATTTGACGTATTTTCAGGGTAAACATTTCATGTATTCCTTTGAATCCTGAATTGTTTTTCGAAACAGTATTCTCCTAACATCGGAGTCTACTGAGCGAATAAAAAAGTCTCGCTTTCAAAATGCAATGCCTGGCATTTCTTGCTTTTGCTTGATTGCCGCGCTTAGCACAGTGTTACCTTACAAGCACTTGCAACACCTGTGTGACGATTATTGATGGCACACTTCGATGATTCTCCTTCCTCTTCCTTCTGTTCTCTTTCCATTGTTATAATATATCTCTCTCCTGTCTCTCTTCTATCTCTCTCCTATATATAAGTGTGTTATATATGAAGTTGTTACACTCTGGATATGTGAAGAAGCAAATAAACATCATTGCCGAGAGTGGCTGTAAGCTACCCCACCTCTATCCAGTTTGTCTTAATACATCAACTCGTCAGGGTCGTATATTTATCGTTACAACCTGCATGGAAGCAATGAGGTGATACACGATGGACTATTCCCAGATTTCTGAAGTCACACCGAACAATAAATTCAGAGAATTCTCACATGTAAATAATGCCTATTACTTTTTCGAACACATTAAAAGCAATACAACTGCACTGTCCATGGAAATCAAGACTATGGACTGCTCTTCAATGAGCGACATGAAGATAAAACCTCTTCTACTAAATCTAGCATAATCATTTTTAGTTGGCAAAGTTATTTATTGTAATTGAAAAAAAATCAAACGAGACATAGCGCACCATATAAATTTCTTAGAGATAGTACTCTCTTCTTACGATATGATGGCAGATATATGATGTATGTTGTTTTTTAGAAGGATGCGTTAAAAAAGACGTTAAGCGACGAGAGAAAACACTAAAGGTTATGCTAGGAAAGTATGATGGTAGGAAAATGGTAAAAGCGAACTAACTACATATTTAATATAGTCTGTAATGATGAAAAGTTCAGTATTATTAATCGAACGCAATTATTTCCATCATGGACGATGGTAGTACTGGCTTAGCTGCCTGAAAGTTATTCAAGTTACGATTGGATGTTTTTGATTGAGTTTGATTGATAAATATAGGTGAGAATAATTCAATTCCATCCAAATTTGTTGAACTGACGTGATTATCTAGTTTCGGTGATGCGACACCATTTGCATCAACGCCTGTGAGTTTGTCCTCGTCGGTTTCTTCTACGCCAAGACGATGGCTACTAATCATTCTTTCATGTGCTCTATAAAGCCAAACGACGCCGAAGATCACTAATAACCCACCAACTAAACCAACAACGAGACCAACAATCAAGGCAACATTTGTCGAAACATTTCCTGTATCGCTTCCTGAGCTACTACTTGATGCAGACGACGGTACATAGGTACGACCAAACATATTCACACTCGTAAGCGTTAAATCAGGTATAGCGCCAGGATCCGATAGTAACTTTGAGACTGCTGCTGAAACATTAGGAGCCAGTGTGTCAGCTTCATAGGTCACAACGACACTACCTGCAGCAGCAAAAAAGAATGCAATAATAGAAAATTTTCCTAGTTGAGTTCTACAGACCTTTGAATACAATGATATCGCTGATTAGAGGCATTCCAACATTGATCATATGATTGCAGATCATTGTACGTTTCTCTTCAAGCTTACCACTTGAATTGAGTGCATCGAAATCGCCCGCAAATGTTATATTACTTGAGAACGAATCGCTCTCAGTGATCAAGGTAACTAAAGAAAACACAAGATCATGAACTATTGCCATCCTTTAGCAATGACCTTACCAGTGTCATCTTTAACAAGAATACCATTTGATAGTAAAACAATGCTATGGTCGTTGTTTGAAGACACCATGAGAATCTGCAGCATATACATACCGGTAGCATTGATTGCTAGATTAGTGACAGTAACAGTACCTTCTGTAAGATCAATATTAGTGCTTGATAAATTGCTTTGAACTAATGACCCATAACGATTTAATTTTGGCAAACTTCTCAATGTAACATTAGCTGACCATGTCCAAGAACCCCATTGAATTTTCCCAAGTTTTAGTAGTGTAATACTATCGACTGGCATGAGAGTGACACTAAATGTTTCATTAACATTTACAACATAGATGTTGTTCACTTGTTGTCCAGCTAGAATCGCTCGTGTCACAGACACAAAAGCAGTTTGCACAGTCAGATTTGTTGTTGCTAAAAATGAACTGTTAAATATAATGAGTAGTATTTTAAATGGTTAAGAATAGATTTTCGATATACCTATTGACACCATCAGGTGGAATAAGATTAAATTGAACTTGTTGGGTGCCGATATCAGGTAGACCGAATAAAGTATACTGTGTTTGTCCACCAGAATAATTAGCTATGCCGCCAGGCAAAATGAGATTTGGTCTACCTATGACACTAGCTTTTACTTGCCATGGTCGATCTTTTGAACCTAACTTTTGAATAACATTTCCTTCTACATTATATGCAACGAGTACAGGTTGAATCGTACACGGACTTTGTTGGCGACAATCATTCGGTGGCGTGATCAGTAAAAGTTTATTGATTGTATTCAATTCCACTGATGAATTATCGAATGGTTCTTGTGTATTTAAGACAGAAGGAGCAGTACCATTTGTTATATTGAGATTTTTCCAAGCCTCCTGTAATTCACCTGATTGATAACGATTAATGATAGTTGAAGCAACATTCGATAGAATTTCAGCTCGAATTCCAGTTGTTGCCGTTGAACTAGTACGTGGTTCATCACGTAATTCAATCTGTAATTGTATGGACGGTAGAGCACGTGAGGTTTGCCGACGAATACGGCTATTGAACAAAACAAAAAGAAATAATAACTTAAAATGAAATAAAAATATGTAGCTGTTACGTTTGATTCGAGGCGGATACAATATTTACACGTCGAATTTTGTCTGGACTTATATTCAAAAGAATTGCTAGATTGGCGACCAGATTGGTGGAGTAAAATGATGCTGGATCCATTGGCGGAAAACCAAAAGAGAGAATGAGTAGTGGTGATACTTTGATATCAATCATAGTGCTACCGTCGATAGCAAAGTAGGCCATTTGATATGTTCTATATGTAGATAATAAATAAAAATACTTTAATTAATAAAAATAAACGAATATTCTTAACTTTTACTCATAGAATCTCTCATACAAGTACTTAATTAAACTACTCGTTTCTCGCTCTACATAATTAGAAGTTATCTATTGTCATTTTAGTATCGAGTATACAATGAAATTAAAAAAATTTTCACCTATCAAAATAATTGCTTCCACTTGGAGAAGATAATGTCACTCCGTTCGGTCGATCATCTAGCATGAGACCAGGAGCACTAAGATCTCGATTAGTCGGTGGAATATACATCGTGTTAGCGTAGACATCGATATGTTGTAATGAATCGTACTGAAGAGCCAAAACACATTTGATACTTGAATCAGCGTTCAGTATACGAAAACGTGTTTGCTTAGGTGGAGTACTTGAGAAAAATATTTTATACGTTTGTCTCGATTGAATGATGGCCATGAATGTGGATATACGCCTTTTACAGGAATAACCATTACAGAAACTTTGATCTTGCGGCCCATTGATCAAATCAATGTACCCACTGTTGGACATGATAGCGACAGGTGAAATACGTCTTTTTTCTGTGTCTGAATCCATACTTTCGATAATCAACATGCGATAGTCAATACTCGAATTACACATGTACATTCCCCATAATGGTTGCAGAGAGCAGGAATTACTACGACTGATACCGCGATATGGATATATCAAGTTGATATTAATTCTGTGTCCAGTTAGGTTAGTCAATGCTAATCTGGGAATTCGAAAATCTCCTATTCCATGCTGTTGACTCCCTAAAAAAGAACACATGTTCAAAAGACGTTTGTGCTTCATTTCATATTGATACTGACCCCACAAAGACTCTGCCTGTGAAAAAACACTCGAAGGCTGGCCAAAAAGGGATCCATCTGTATCAACAATTAAATTCTTCTTCAGGCCATCACAATCCATATCTATAACAGAAATTAGTTTAACGAACGCATTGATTTGAATGACATACTTACCACCACATTTACTCGGAGTTACTACATTTAAGTTTGGTTGCCCATTGAAAATAAGATTTGCTTGCGATGTATTATAGACAAATATAGAACTTGTTGTGACCGGAAATTGTCCATCATTATTGTTTTGCGAAACCTGGATTGCTACGTCATGACGATCACAAGTATCATTGAAGAAAGCAAGAGTTGTATTAGTAATAGACATTAAACCGTTGACTAGAAAGTTCGAAAATATCATTGAATTATCGATTAACGATGTTTGGTATTCACTTACGACAAGGATAAGTACCAGTACCAGTCCAAGACCGAATAGGCATATTGTTACTCCTGGAAATAGCTGGAAAAACTATACCTGACCTACTGCCAGCATTTCCAGACGATGAATTCGCTGATACAGCAGGTATTGCCATTTGCGATAGTCGAATATTAATCGAACTTGTATCAATTCTATCGGTGCAATCTTCTGATGTCATTGAGCCAATGACAAGTGAAGCCCGAACATTGATACGACTAGCAACTGGTACATGTGTTAAAGCTAACCGTGCACAGAAAAATAGATAAATAGTGAAAGAAAACCACTGAACAGTGTTTATTACCAGATGGTCCAACCACATAAGTAAAGATACCAACGTGACTATCAATTGATGAACACGAATCAATCGTTATATTGCGAAATGTGTTGATGTAGAAAGCATAATACCATGCTTTGTAAACCCTATTAATGTTTTGACAATGATTCAGAATACCGCTTATCAAAATTTTAAAATGAAAATGGTGCTGCTGCCATTTCTTTCATGTATATTTTGTGTTGCAAAATGAAATCGACAAGTTATGTCGCTGTTTAGAACTTTTTCATGAGTTAACAAATAAATGAGTTAATTTTTCGTTAGCTATTAGGATCTGTTGTTACTTTTCCAAATGTAACTGATTCCTCAAAACGATAGTATCATCAATGCTTTTTGCCGGGATATTAAATCTGAAGAGAACTCAGATTTTCTTTTGCTTAAGTGAAACAAACTGGCATGCACTATTAGATCAAATTCACGAATATCATAAGTGTTTAATAATTTTTTAAACTGTGGCATCAATCTAATGAACTTTACATTTATAATACTTGACTTCAAAAAAAGATAAATCTTGACTCAATTTACTCTTCAAACACATTTTCCCCAATTCTATTGTCTCTATGAATAAAAAATTGATACACAGAACATGAAAACAGTAGCTATGTTTAATATTCTGCCTGTCTTGAATACTTACTTGAATCCTTTAATTAGAACACATTCTAGAATAGTCAAAAAAAAGAGACAATGTGTGAACTTGAATGAAATTCAGAACACCTACTTCGATCATATATGAATCCTTTGTCTGTCGGCCAAAGGCTAACACCAGACATAACCGAATGTGCTTCATTGTTCGAATATTCATTGAATACATTTAATGGAGTATAAACATCTGAACCACCACATGATTCACCAGGAATACGGTACGCCAGACGTTCAACACCAGCGACTAAATTATTCTGTCGAAGGAGAAAGAGACAGCTTGTGAAATAAAAATGATATACATTGAAATTATTAATACATACCAGCAATCTCACACTGGTAGCATCACGAGCCATAATCGCAGCATCATTATTTGAACTAAACTGAGATATTGATGCATCTTGTCCTGTACCTACCCAGTAGACAGTAGTGATAAGATTATTTTCAACGCGATTGTTCATTCCAGTCACGGCGATGCCTGATCTATATGTATTGTAGATGACATTGTTCGTTATTGGAATACCATTTGTGCTTCGCATACCAATACTACAAATTTTGGAATGAGAAAGAAAAAAAACATAAAAGATTATATTTCACTTACGCTGCATTAAATCCACTATCAAACGAACAAGCGTCGATGAATGTAGGTCTACTTGAAATATAATCACCTAGATGACTCATGGAAATACCTGATTGGAGATCACTATAATAAGTATCATCCAATTTGCCGAAGCCGATGAATTGTGTATTTGATATTCGAGCATATCCTTTGTAATACGTATCATTACATTGATTGGAAAAATTATCGAAAACACATGTTCGATAATCAGTTATTAGAATTCGGAATCCAGTTAGACTGGAGCCTGCCCTTTGACTCCTTATCCGTATGTTACGTGTCAATAATCCAACTGCAGCACTCACAGCTGCTACTTGTCCGTTGGCGAATGTTTGTTGAAGGACAAGATGAGTATAAGCCAGTGGTAGTTTCGTATGTATTAATGTCTGGTTTTCAATATAGTCGATTTGGTGTCGCTCAGTATGAGCAATATTTGTATCTGTGGTTGTTATTATTATTTCGTCGTTGGTAGTCCAATTGACTGCTTGACTCAGGATAATTACATTTTGACCTGATGCAGCAGTGAGAGCAAGACGCGTCCAAGTGATTCCACGTGGCATACCATTCAAGTCGAGGCCACCTAAGACACCGATAAATTGCGACTCCCTCGCCGGAAAATTCGAAGGCAATGATACAGTTACTGGACCACTATTTCTTAGAATAATTTCAACGCTACCATTAAATGTATCGTTGGGTAAACCTATTAATAATGTATTAATATGATCTAAATTTCTTTCGCAATAAAATATTTACCAGCAATTAATCGACCACCATTTATAATAATGGTGTCAATATTCATAAGATGATTTCCTCCCTAAAATTAGTAAAAATCACAAGATAACATGCATGCAGCTCTGAAATGAAAAAATATACCTGTTGAAATTCAACCACACCTTCAATTTTTAATGATCGAATAGATGGAAGTGGACAGTCAATAACTAACCAGATACAACGAGGAACAAAGATATTTTTGTCACTGCCGGGCTTTATACCAACTGAAATATATTTCGTAAATGAATAGTAGAAAGTAATTATACATAGATAAAACTTACACCAATCAGTATAGTCTTGAGGTCCAAAAGTCCAGTGGGAATCAATCGACCAATATCTTACATCAGGTGCTAGACACTTAAATGAGAAATAGGTTTGAAAAATATAGCGTCATCATCAACATATTAGTTATGATATCTGTTCAATTAATTATTATTTTCTTGAAATAGACTATATTCAATTTTTATACAAAAAAAAAATTAGTACAAGACATTTGCTTTCTGTTAATTCAATAACGATGAATGTATCGCATCCACCTAAGATTTTCATTTTCATTAATTGAAGAATGATTTAGAGTCAATGAATCAAATGGAAAATACTCTAATAAAACTCAAATTTATATCTTGTTTTAATGACATATTTCTGGAAACTATTGCTGTAGTATTGTTTTCCCGAAATTTACAAGATATTTGTGAGTTTTTCTCTACACAAATATATCTTCGCTCATATATAATTGAAATTATTTCGAAAAAAAATGAACTAAATAGCAGCTTCTTGCAAACATGCAACTATTACGCCGATAATACATTTAAAGCGTGTATTGAGCTGCTTTTTTCTTTCAGTATTGAAATTTTATAGTAGTTGAATTATTCACGTAAAAAATGATCTAATTGCTCTAATTAACACTACATAAACATCAGAGAAGGAGACAGTACACACTTCGAATGCCTATTTCGTGACATTTATTGAGTAAAAATAAGAAGAAAAAAAGATTTTACTGATTATTCAGTTTTAAGTTCGAGTTTGTTTGTCTATGAGCATATTTTATCTACAACTATGGCAAATATTTATCTATTTTGTATTTTTCTCTGTCGTATAAATTCTCATTCATTTTTTATTACTGCAAATATTTCAAATTATTTGATTCATTAATTTAAAATATGCTTGGGTATACATATTGTCTAGTAGCATCACGTCATCTTTTAGGATAATGATGAGTATAATATCACCATCTAATGAATTCTCTAGTGGATTAATTAGATAACTTGGAAAATTTGAGACATTCCTCTATAAATTCTAGTGCATTCATTAGTGTTCTATAGGCAAAGTGTTGACTTATATTAAGTGAAATCAATATATAAATACAGAATGATACAAAAGACGATTTTAAATAATTGTTTCCGTGTTATTTGACGCCTGTATCATTAGAAAACCTATTAAGTCTACTCTGTGTATGTGTGTCTCAAAACATGCACATTCGTTCAGAATGAGAAAAAGAAATTTGAAATCCCGATTGAACTCATACCAGTTATAGATTTGATATTAATTCGATAACAGGTTGTATTGGTGAAAAGTAAATTATCGCTATAGCTGTTCCCATGTAAAAAAACGCAAAGTTGATGCGTTGAAACTTGCTTTAACAATAAAACGCGTTTCAACGCAATTAGAAAGAAAAATGAACTGCGTCTCAACGCTTATCTGGAAAACATTTAACGCTTTCGAAAGCGTTTCACCTACGAACTCCGTTCAAACGTGTCTCAGATGTTTTCAGTCGTGTTTGGATGCTATCATACCACTGATCACGTTTGCTCGGGTTTATTTCTTGCATATCAAACACGATTTTACTCCAAAAACTGTTGCTTTAGAAGGATTAACCTCGTGATCAAAGTCTTCGGTTTAGATATATATTATTTATTTAAACTTCTGTAGAATTTTTAATGAAGTATGTTCAGATGATGTTAAAACAGATACAAACTTAATTAAACGTAAAGCAAGTCATCCATATTTCCCTACAGTTTGTATGGGTATTAACGAGACAACATCGCAATAGTTTTCAACTATCTGATGTCTCATTAGCAAACTGACAAATAGTAGCGTTTAGATTATATGCTTAACAACTTTTATCATAGTTCTACTAAATAAATTGTATGAATAATTATTTATACATTAAATCCTTCAATAAAATTATGTATCAAGTTGTCAGCGAAATGCAAAGCTTTTCCTAATATTAATCACATTTAGTAGACGATAAAAAAACTTCTTTTTAATTTAAAAAATAGTTATGTATTAAATATCTTACTTTTAAAAAAGGACATGCTATTGAAAACATTATTTAAGGGATGAAATTTATATTCAAATATATTTTGTTGTGAACGACTTCTGATTACTAGTTCATCTGTTCAAATCCAATCGTCATCGCTTAAGTTAAAATTCAATCCATTTGTCAGGATAGTTCAAGATCATCAATAAATGTTGACAATCCAGACTCACTTTAGGGGTGCACCAGAACCTTTTCTGTGTGTATAATGATTGTAAACTTTCGTCATGAGCACCCCCAAAAGTCTAACCAAATCTTTGAGTCGGTTATATCCAACTTTTTTCGCTCTTCCTAATATGGGCATTGTAGGTAAGAAAGTTTGAAACTTTTCCTTTTAGGGTACCAATAATGCGCATATTAGGAAAAACGAAAAAAGCTGGGCATAATCGGCTCAAAGATTTAGTTGATTTTGGAGGTGTTCATGACCAAAATTTACAATCATTATGCGCATAAAAATGTTTTTGGTACACTCCTGCCTCAGTTCGAATCTGAGGATCTAAGATGGATTCTGATATATTTTTCAATTTTTTTCAATTTTATATGAAACGCGTTTAGACGCGTTTTTAGTCAAAACATATTTACATAGATTGTCACTGTAGTTGTTGTTACTGTTGTAGTTGTTGTAGCTGTAGTTGTTGTAGCTGATGTTGTTGTAGCTGTTGTGGCTGATGTAGTTGTTGTTGTTGTGGCTGATGTAGTTGTTGTTGTTGTCTCTGAAGTAGTTGTAGTTGTAGTAGTTGTTGTTGTTGTCGTTGTTGGACATCCACAATTGTAACACGGACATATGTAAACTCGAAATAATATTTCAATGTCGATACTTGTGTTTGCTGTCGATGGATTTTTAGCTGAAAAGATACTGGCGTGAAAAGCAGAGACTGAGTAATATTTCTACATACCGATATAAGACAGTAGAGATGTAACGTTGTCGTAATACCAGTCACCATTACTATTGTTCCATCCGGAGAGTGGCATTAGTGATCCTGAAGTCATGGACTGACCGACAATTATATCAGCTTTAGCAGGTACAACGTTCATCTGATGCTGAATGATCAGATAATCACTTGGAGCCACATCATAAATAACACCGGTATAGCATAGATCTTTTGGTTGCTAATTATGGATGGGTAGGCAAGAAAACAATTTTGACAAATCAAATGACAACAGCAAACTTACAATATTTGTTTCAAATGCGAATGTATAAGTTTGATTCGCTCTTGATACAACCGAATATCCGTTTGGATAAGTTAGCTGTTCTTGAAGCCAAGGTATGATAATCGTCGAATTTTCTTCATCTGAGATAAAAAGTCGACCCAAATTATGTTGCGACGGGTGACGGAGCGAAATCCGTAACCATGAACCTTCTGAAAGAGGACATTGAAGAGCATTTTCAAAGTTCTGTACTGGTGTACACGCAGATGATGTATTAGTGATTCCATCTGGAGCCATAATTATTGAATCAGGTTGTCCACCTAGAGTGCCATCCTCATCATAATACAGTGCATCGTATTCCCATCGAAACTTGCCACGAATTGTAACATTTACAAATGTCATATTAGAGAACTTAACTAGCCAACCTGTGTTTAAAAATGACAAGAATCATTATGATAAATAAATGTGATATATTTCACACATACCTCCACAACGATTGGTACATCGACCGAGAATGATAGGTCCAAATATAGCGCGTGTTTCATTACTTGGAAAATTGATAAAGGCAACATTTCGAACACGAAGACCACGATCCCACATGACTATTAATAAATAGCAATAGAAGAGTTCATAAGAATATGAGTGATTGTCAAAATTTTATAATAGAAAATAGTAATTACAATGACATTTTCAATCTATGAATTAAATATCTCGTGTAAAAGATATTTGAAGTGAGCCAGTGTTTAATTAAAAGATTTAGCTAGTTTGAGCTAACTACCAAAAGTTAATATGTTAGTTGAACATCATCACCAACAGTTTAAATACTACTTACCAACGAGACCAGCAGTGGACGGTATGATGGGTGTTGACGCAAGACCTGTATCACCGATTATGACACTATCAATTACCGATGAGCCACTACCAGTATCATAGAATGTAGGTCGAAGATATGAGGGGTTGATTTCTTGATGTTCGATAGCTGTGATATAGCCAATGCCTAAATCAGCATTGTCAAAAACTACAGCATTCTTGACTTGAATCGTGCGAGACATTACTATCTCAATGCCTTTATTGTTATTCCATGCGATCAAGCCTTCAAATGTTGCTTGTAACGGTCGAGTATCATTACAATCTCCCGAAATGGTAGGAGCATACTCCGGATAAATCCAAACTCCGAATCGACCCGTACTATGCACACTATTATTGTAGAAACGTCCAAAAGGCTGTCGATTAGGACAGTAGTTAGGATTCGTAAGAAGTGAAAGTCCTTCGGTTCTATTACTCAATTGATACCAATAACCGTAATAAGTGGCACCAGCTACTGCATTCAGTTCGACTATATTATTTGGATTAGTTAACTATTAAATATTACATGTTCAATTATACTTTTGTCGAATAATTATCTTACCCAAAAAGCAGCCGGTGTAAGATCTTCATTGAGCAGACTTGAACTTGATCGTACAAAAACAGCTAAATTTCCCCGAAAAACATGGCCGACTTCAATACCATCTGAGAGAAACATTGCACTACCCCTATTTATAATATTAAAACAAAGCAGATGAAGAATACTACTGCTCATTAAATTCTTACATGATATTATAAATAACATTACTCTCAATAGTAATATAATTACTAGCCTGAATATGAATAGCTCGGTTGAACGATAAGTGAATTGAGGAAGATTTTACAAAAGATTCACTCATATTTCCATTTCTCTGAAAGTGTATCGCATAACGATCTAGACGAAACGCCTGGCCAACATTGAAGATCTAATCACAAAAAGTAGAAGAATGCAAATCAGAAGAGTCTATAAAAATTTACTTCAACATTCGATAGTCTCACAGCGACTCGTTGAGTATCATCAGTAATATTATTACCTTGACTAACCATAATCCTCGCACCGAACTGATCAGAGCCTATCTCCTGTCCATATCGACCGAGGAAACATGTCTGCACCGCAAATTCGTCTGAAAGTAAAATTAGTTTTTATTGCTTATGTATTTTCTAGATTTATTGTCTTCATCATTTTCAATAGAACTTCCCGGATGAATGTCAATTAAAATTAAACTTCAATTTTCTCCAGTTAAATTAGAAATGAACGGATTAACTTTGCTCTAATATCGGTCTAGAGAAAAATCCAGAGAATAAACCATTTATTGCTTTTTTCCCTTTAGATTTAGCACAGATCCTGCAATTCTCTGACTAGTAGTTAGGTAGCGAGAGACTATTGCTCAAAATTTCCCTTTTCTGTTCATGTTATTTAATATTAAATTACCCGGATTAAATCCAGCTGGACATGTCTCTATGATTTCATCCCATGTTTCAGTGACTGAACCTAAAAAAAGAAGAGTATCCTGTGACGTAAAACCTTAATGTTTTTATCTAGAAGAAACCTTGAAAGATGACATTGTGTGAAAGAAGACCAACTTCACCACGAATCTCGATCGTAGTTGAATTCCACGTTTGTGTTTCACTCAAGTGAGTAAATTGCAATGGTTTGTCCAAAACTAGTGTAAGTCCATCTGATGAAATATTCGTTATTTGACGAATTTCAGTCTCTTTTTGACTGAAACGATCACCCGTAGTTGCAATAATGATTTGACTGTTCACAGTCCAGTTGACCGACTCTAGAAGAGTGATTGTTGATGAACCATTATAAGCTGTCGATCTCAATTTTGTCCAAGTCAAAGCATTGGGTATTCCGTGCATATCCACAGTTCCCGCACGTACAGCCAATACCTTAGCACCAACTTATCGAAAACAAAATGTTAAAGACAAAATAAAACATAATTAATTTTACTTACATATAGGCAATTCGATCGATCTCAACTGTCCGTACATAGTGATGACACCACGATGCCGGAATGGAATTGATTCAGTGCCAACTTGAAGGTGACCATCGTTGACGATAATAATATATTCAACATTCAAAGTAACATCTTGAGAATCGTCGAATATCAATGTAGCATTATCAATAATAAGTACTTTTAGAATTGGTGTCTCGATGTCCAAATAGACAGTCACACCATCTGAAACAACTACGAGTGTACCAACGTCAGGTGGCTGATAACCACCCCAGGTCCATATACTGGACCAAAGATCAATGTAATGAAAATAGACTGTCCCGATTGCATAGCCACTACTATTAATGAATACCTTGACTTTGGCTTGAACACTTCTGCTTTTATAGCTGCCAGTCTCGCATGTAATACTTGTAGGCGTGATAGTTTGTACTAAGCATGGCGACTCAGCAATAGTCACCGTTACAGCATTTCCAGAAGTCCTACACATAGAAAGCAATCAATAGAAACATATTAGATTTGAAAACTCACGGGAAATTATTTCCATTAATAGTAATTGTTGTTCCACCACCTGTTCCACCTCGAACTGGACTAACCGATGTAATACTCGCAGTTAAATTAGCTTTATAAATGAAATATGTACTTTTACTTATACCATCTACAGTTACTGTCAAATTGCATGAACTATTTACGTCGCTCATCGAAACGTCAGGTGTAATACAGATGAGTTGATCATTCGATACAACTTGTACCGACAAACAAGTTTGATTACATATGGTGACATTGACATCAGTTCCATTGAATCCATGACCAAGAATCGTGGTGGATAGACCACCACCGTAACCTCCTTCTGACGGTGTTGTATTTGTGACAGAGAGATCGTTTGTGTAGAAAATATTCGAATTCGAATTTCCCACCACGTCTACATGAATACGAACTGAATGATGTCCGGCAGCCAAACTTAAGTCAATTGTACATATGATTAAATTTTGTGAACTATTACGGATAATACACTTAGTATTTCCCACGAAAGCAGTTGTTTGTCCAACGCCAACAAAGTTATCTCCAATAATGTGCAAAACTTGTGAACTATTACCAAATGTTGGACTGATAGAAGTGATATTGGGTGTTACCGTTTCATTGTAATTCAAAGTAAATGATGATGGAAATGAAATCTGATGTGAAATGATACTAATATTGACTGAACCAGAACTGTTGCCTTGAGGAGGGATGATGCATTGAATACGATTATTTGTCGCTTGAATTACAGGACATATATTCGTGCCTATGGTGACTTGAATTTGACTGATGTTTTTCGAGAAACCATGACCAACAATAGTCATTGTTGCACCACCATATATACTACTCATTAGGGGTACTATCGTTGATATCAAAGCTTCGGATGTGATCGTCAATGTTGAATAAATATTTCCTATGCCTACAATAAAGAAACTAAAGATTCTATCCTAATCTGAAATGTAAAAGTACAAACCATCAATAAATCCAATAATGGTATATTGGCCAGCTTCTACGCTTATGACCGTACATGTAATCGATTCATTCCCCATTTCTGTGACATTACAAATATTGCTATTTATACTAACATCAATATCGGCCATTGTGCTTCCTCCAGTAAGTAAATTTCGGCCAGTGATTGTCAAGTTCGTAGTGTCATTTATCCATTGCGGACTCACAGAGTCAAAGTGTGGAGTAAGAAGTGTTTTCCAAGAGAAATAACAAGACGACATAAGACATACTGACTGGCTCGTTCGAACAAAAGCCCTCACTGTTAAATTAACGTCGACATATGTTAACTGTGGTGGTGTAGTTAATATAATGCGCGAATAGGATAAAGATCCCGCATGTGTATAGTTAACGCCAGAGATAAACACTCGCGTATCGCTTGATATGAATCCATCACCATCGATTGTTACAAGAGTGCCTCCATAGATCGAACCTATGAAGTAAAACCAAACAAATAGATAATCATTGCTTTTTATTTATTTCAACATTTCAACTCTACCGATTGTAGGGGATATATTTGAGATGGATGATAGAAATCTGAATTGTAATTGATTAGAATTACCGAGATACCCCTGAAGATTACGAGCGACGCGAACTATTTGATTTATTCCAGCATCGAGCATGGAGTTCGCTGTGATCTGACATATGAGTTGAGTTGATGATTTGTTAATGATGGGGCAGTGATATTTTGACCCAATTTGAATATCATAATCACACATATTTCCAGTAAAGTTCGTTCCTATAATCAATCACTTTAATAAGAATAATTGGCTATAAAACAAAATCAAGACCTCTAATAGTGACTTGAGTTCCCATGGGACCTTCCGTAGGTGATATTCCAATGATAGATTCAATCTTGCATAGCGTATAAATAAATTCCGTCGAGCTGGATAAATCTGGTACTGATTCAGTACACAATGTGGCGTTAAGAATATTAGATGAGCATGATGAATTCAGTGCTAAACCTAAAATAAAATATGGAAAATTTTCAGATGACTGAAACTATAATAAGATCTACTTAAGAATATACAGACTAGAACAAAAGTACTTGAAAGTAAAGAAATGTTGGAATTTAAAATTTTATGGCTCTTTTTTAAACTGTATTGCTCATTGTTTGCATGTAACCAACCTTTTAATTCACTGATAGAATCTCTGATATTAAGCAAATAACAGTATCAATCTCTGCTCGTAAGTTATGTAAATTCATACGTAGATAAGAATCGAACTGCTATATATTTATCTTTGCTTTTTTCACACGAGTATTACATTTGGAGAGTGCTCGTATACTCTACAATCTAAAAAAAATCGACTCTTTACCGAACCCCCAAAAAAGGTTCCGGAGATTTCAAAAAGCATCCAAAGGTGTCCAAAGTTTCAAAAAAGGATAAAAAATTCTACGAAACCTTCAATGGTTCTTACCGTGTATCCAGGATAAGAACCTTCTGCTACGAAACCTTTTTTTAAGTTCCGTAGAGCAAAAAAAGGCTTTGTAGCGGAAATACGAAACCTTTACAGTTTCATATTAAAACCAAATGGTTTCGTACTAAACCCTCATGATTTCGTAGAGTTTGATACGAAACTGTAAAGGTTTCGTATTTCCGCTACAAAACCNTTTTTTTACTCTACGGAACTTAAAAAAAGGTTTCGTAGCAGAAGGTTCTTATCCTGGATACACGGTAAGAACCATTAAAGGTTTCGTAGATTTTTTTATCCTTTTTTTGAAACTTTGGACACCTTTGGATGCTTTTTGAGATCTCCAGAACCTTTTTTGGGGGTTCGGTAAAGAGACGATTTTTTTTAGAGTGTAAGATATTGTTTTTTTGGTCTCTTTATGGCAAATCTCTTTCTCTCAAATCGTTTTTATTCGAATTGAATTTCGATATATTCACAGGAGAAAATATTCTATTCCTCGTCTGATTAAACCATGCACATATACGTACCTATTGGATTACAATATAATCGTTGGCCCATATAGATTGTTGTTGGAGAACACCACAGTTGTGTATCGTTTACTGAAGTGCACGCCGTGTAGTTAACCGAATCGAAATTGAATGGAAATACACATGTTTGAGCTGTAAAGAATCAAAAAATAAATTGTATGTTTACGAGAAACTACTATTGAATCTTGCCAGTAAAATTATTCAAGATGGTTTCTACAGTCATTATTTCAGGTTCTAAGGCTACCACATCGATAACGCCTCGCATTGAATATCCAGTAGATTGATCGATATTTGGTGCCCAATAATAGAAAGTGCCCAAACTATCGAATTGATAGGAAAATGAACCTATCAAAAATAGATATTATTACACGTTTATCACGTTAACCAGATGTTGCTTACCAACAGATGTCGAGGAACCAGAGTCAAATCCGTATGGGATTGGTTCAGTACTATACGCATTCGCTACTTGCTGTATCTTGTAGTAAACTGGCGTACTTAATTCAGGAGAACTCCAGTACCAAGTAACAATCGTTCCTTGTCTCACTGTTTCACGAGTAGGATACCAAGCATAACCAAAACCATAAGTCGGATGAAAACCGTTCGATGTTACTGTTACTTGCAGAGAATTGGATGTTGTTTGACAATGAATTCGATTCGATTGAATCGAAATAATATTACAGGGAAAGCTGCGATTGCTTTGATCACGCAATTGAATACGGGTGCCATTTGCAAAACCTCCTCCATATACATAAACGTCGGTACCACCGTAAGCCGAACCGATTTGAGGAGATACTTCTTGTACATAGAATCGATATTCGATATGAAAGATAGGTCGTGCAAAGCCCATCGAAGTGCGAACTGTCACCGGATAGAGTCCTGGTGGTAGTGCACTTAAATTGACGAGAATATAATTGTTCGAAGACGCTAAAACACGAACACTTGTAGTAGCAACAAAAACAGAAATGCTATCATTGCCGAATCCGGTGCCACTGATATTCAATAGTCCACCAAGCATCGTTACAAATGTCGGACTAATATTATAGATAATTGGAGTATTTGTCACGTTGTATGTAAATTGTCCAGATGCACTAGCTATATTAAATCCGTCAATAACGATCACTGCTACTCGAATCAAAGTCATACTCCCAGTAGGAGGAACGGTACATTGGATTGAACTAAAATTAAAGACAGTCAAATTTCTACAGAAATTCTCGCCAATAGTAATGAAAGCATTTGGCGAAAATCCACTGCCAATAATTGCTAATTGATAACCACCTCCCACATCTCCCCCAGTTGGATCAAATGATGTGATCAAGAGTGGCACATTCACTATAACAATGTCATTACTTGATACAAGACCTTTTTCAACAATATTCAGCTGTAGAATTTGTGGTCCTGACGGTGCGTTAACAATAGTACAAATAATTGACGTCGTGTTGGCTGATACGATGTTGCATGACCCATTCTTACCGATGGTAATTATATTTGCACTGAATTCATTACTAAATCCAGTACCAAAAATGGTTACCAATGCTCCATTCTGTACAACAGATGTGATCGTAGGTGTATGATCAATTGACCATAGAAATTCACAATTATTATTTTCCTTTGCACACCAAGATGAATAGCCGCCAACAAGTACTTCTACCTGTAAATAGAATCAGTTTAAAGAATCTTACAAATAGAAGGAATCCTACCTGAGGAGTCGTATGATATGTTCGTAGAATATCATTTGGAACATTATAAAATTCATTGATTGCATTGCCACGTCGTATTGACGAAACGATTATTGGTGCGTTAATTGGTCTTACTTCAGAAGAGTTCGCGATTGAAATGAGCGGTTGTTCATCATTAGCTAACCATTCAATTGTATATGTATACTGAGCACACTCTCCTGTACGTGCTACAGCTACATAACCAAAATCAGAAAATGATTGAAGTAGATTAGCCAGATTAGACCCAGTTATTTTTGCTGGAATTGGAAAATGTACTTTCCCATCAAACATTATCGAATAATATCCATCTACTGGCTTGGATGCATTTACAATTGAAATCACTTGACCAGTCTAAAATAATGATTCCATAATAATTAGCTACCGAAAATATTACTTACAATGGAAGGCAACACTTCGATCAATGATGGAGACATGCACGACGTATAGCGAAATGAAATATCAATTGTACGATTCGACATTAGAAATGTTATACTAAAAGAATTATAGAGTAACTGATATTTTGGATATAATCGCCGAACACCTTCGATCGATGAATTTTGACAATAGTATGTTACATTAGAAGTTAAACCACAAATAGGCATAGCATCAGCATCAAGTATACATGACGAGTGATTTTGATTGTTGTAAAAGAATGGAAATGAACATACGCCTGAGGATGATTGATCAGTTGATAAAATTATGCTGTCCTCTTCGTAGCCAGTCGGGAGTGAAGTACGTAATGTGACTGTATCAATCATGATCATTGGTGGAACAAAGTTATCAAGTTTTACTTGAATAATCAGAAATGAAGTTACACTCAAGTACGTAAAAGAATAGCTCTCGAGTGTGTCACGTAGATTAATACATTTATAGTGCCAACGCGAATCTGAATTTATATTCAACGAAATACGCTCAAATACTGGCTGATTGTCATCGCTCTGGACTAAATAATTGAGAAATATCGAATTTCCAGTAGTAATTTTATAGGCGAAACAAAAGTAGTCGGCAATAAATGTGTTTTCACAAACAAGACACTGCCTTGAACTTGTGAGTGCACTACGGCCACAAAATGCTTGATCTTCAATGTTGAATGTCTCATTAAATGAATTTGAGACTTCAAATTCATTTACGTACACAATAGAAGGCGTTGCATGTCGATTGTTTAACGATGGTGGACATCGAATATTGAATAAGTTCATAAACTCACTTCTCAGTGTCGATTCTGTAACTGCATTTGCTTCAAAATCTAGATAGCTTGTTGTTGCTCCATTGAGTCGAAATGCTATCTTCGAACGAGATGCGATTCCTTGTACGATTTCTGCAGCAGTTTGCGGACGTTCAAATGCTGTTGATATTACAGTGAGTAGTGAAACATCACCCATTTCAACTGGAAATGTCACTCTATATGCGCTATGTACGAACGTGACCGTAACAGATAGCGGGAAGATTGTTGGCAAATCATTGAGAGCATCTTGTACAACGGTCGCTTCGGGTGGTCCATCAAGTAGTGCTGAGTGTTAATGATCAGTCAAATATTTTATTTAAAAGATGGATAAACAATTCGAAAACAAACCTGTGTAGACTCCTTCAAAACCAATTTGAAACATTTCAAAAACAGCGTCTACATCTTGCACTTCAGATACTCCATCGATTGACATATTTGTCATATACACAATACGCTTCAAACAAAACAACAAAACATTTTTGCTCTTTTAAAGAAATTCTATGTTGAGGATGAGGTTGTGCTGGTGATTTTAGACAAGGACAAGATCCATATATACACTTGGATAACATAACGAACAGCAATGAATACTTGCACGCTTAGTCTTTTTTCTATTATCTTTTCGTTTTAAAGAATAACTAAATAAAACTTTCCTTTTCATTTAAATTATTTAAAAACAATTAATTCTTGACGTTTTCTTTTCGTATGTTTTTTTTATCTATGTTTCTCATTTGACAGAATCTCTTTTAATATTTTCTCCGTCAAAATTTATCTCTTTGGCACAAATCTGCTTCTTTTTTGATATTTTTTTACTTTCTGATATTTTAGCGAATCCGGTCTGAATAGCAATAAATACGAGTCATTTCATATTAACAAGATTGCTAGAACTTTAAAAAATTCAAAGATTTGTGATGGTATTTTTCTGTGTTTTTGTGTGAGTCATACTTTCATGAATTTGAAAAAATGACTTATCAGATACAAGCAATTACCTGATATTCGCTGGTAGCATTGGCACCAATAGTGATTTGTTGAATTTCATGTGTACCTAAAGAACTACTTGGTGTGCTTGATTTGTATTGGCGCATAGCTGCTTTAATATTCAAACTAAAAGCACCACTGTAATTTGAACCGATACATAATATGTAATAGCTAAATGAAAATTTCTCATCAATATAAAGGAACATATTTTTTTAGTTTATCAATCAATTACTTAGTATCATTTTGTAGCAGAATTCCGCTTGATTCTGGAAATAAATTAGAAACAATTTTTATTTTGTTATCTGGATTCTCATCAGTGCTTAGATATAGGGCAGCATAAGAACCGGTTTCCAATCGAAATATGAATTTAGTCGTTATTGGCACACGCAGAAATCCAATTAACCATACGGTGGTAGGAGATGGAAATTGAGATGAAAATGAGGCTTCGTCTATCCACATTCGAGTGGCATTGATGCCAGGAAGTGGAGGACTCGAATTACCCAAATTATTCTAAAAATGATATGAAAAATACACGAATTTATCAGTGGAAATGACAATAATAATAAGGTTCGAACATACTAAATCAATGAAACCAGATTGGTAATAGACATGTAGACCACGACCACCTACCAATGAACATAAAGTAGTTTACTAGACGTAGTAATCTACTTACCATGAAAATAACTTCGATGGTTAGCGGGCATCGCCGATGTTTGACATTGAATTGTAGTCAGATTGCTACTAAAGATAGTACATGGCTGATCGTCGATATTCACGATCAGTGGATAGCGATTACTTGCACAGAAATAATTTCCGTTAATTGTTAAAATGGTACCTCCTTCTACACTGCCATTACTAGACGATATATTCGCGATAACTATTCAGAATGAAGAAAAAACTCGAATATCCTATACTAATAAATGGAGTGGACATACAGACCAGCATACGTTTCAAAATTATATAATTGACCAGTGCTTGACATTCGAAATAGGCTTGCATCAACCGACGAACGCCCATATTCATTTGTAACAAGCATCGTCACATTGAATATGTCTGTTAATTAATAAGTATTTGAAATATATTCCAATTATACATATATGAATAGAAGAAATGTTCGTTATACTTACCAACTTCGTTACTCTCAAAACGGCATGTAAGTTGAGTGGAATTTAAATTGGAATAGCTAAAAATAAATCAATATTGTGTGAATATTATTAAAGATGTAGAAACTTACTAGACACCACCATCGGGATCAATAAGGTTACATAGCTGACCACCTACATATATGCTAAACAAAAATCATCAGAATTTTACGGATTATCGTCAAATCAGGTATCTCTTACCGAGAAATAACAGGCACATCTGATCCGGAGCAACCATCAAATTCACGCAAGTAACATTTCGATTTGAAGTATCCGTACAATCTAATCAATCTTTGAGGCAATCCTGCTTGTGGTAATATTTGAGTAATACGAGGTGCGTTGCTCTGGGTTGACCGAAAAGTGGCCGAATTGGGATAGGTGTGTTGGGAGAGATCTATCAAATTGCCTTCTACATATACCCTAACTATATATTGGCCTGGCGGTAATGCTGGAGTGTAGCATGTTAACTGAGTGTCGGTTACTTTTTCGATATGCATTTGACAGTCATAGGTATTATCTCCTTTTGTCAACTTGACACTATTTGAAGTGTTTTTTGAAGGTACTTCACTGAAAGCATTCTGTGCGAAACCAGTACCATAGACCCACAGCAAAGTGCCACCTTCGCTGCTGCCAGTATTTTTTTCTCGAGAGCCACCTTTGATAGTTGTAGCATGGGATACTGTCGTTGCATCTATCACAACTGAAAACATTAATCAAAATAGTACAACTAAACTTAATTCTAGAGAAATGTATGATTCTTATTGAAAATAAATGAAATTCATTTTAACCATCGTCAAGCATGATAGGCCACTCATAAACAAAGACTGCTCCCCAGACTGAAAGGCTAGGGTGTAGAAATGAAAATTCACCTGCGTCTGTCTGTCCGTAACGCTTGGTACAAATGACCACAGTCATAGTACAAAGTACCACAGTCATGGTACAAATGAGGGTGTGGATGTGGGTATTTCTGTTTGGATTTTCGTTTCCATCTCCCACAGCCACACCCATACCCCTACACCCTCGTGGAAGTCGCTACGGTGGTTCTGAGGACAGTGGATGCCATGGAGATGGAGGTCATTGCCAAAATTTCGCACGGTGACCGAGAATTGATTGTCGATGTGTAGGCAAACGTAGAGGACATGACTATGCCCATGCCCATTTACATCCTCACAGATCACATGGGTAAAAACACATCAGGCTGAATCTAAATTCCATATTTATACGTTATTTGCGTTTTCATTAATGCATCCCAGATCGATCAAAATGGACCACCGTAAACTGGCATAACATTACCGTAAACGGTCGTTTTTGCATCGTATTCCGTCGAAAAACGACCGTTTTAAGCCGGATTAAGGCATTTTAACAAGGGTAGTATTACGGCCATATACGGACACCGTATATCAGCCGTAAAACTTCGTAAAGCCGGCGTAATATTATCGTATTCTATAGAACATACGGCCGTATTACTGCCCCTGTTATACGGGGAAAAAAGGCACGTAAAACGGACCGTATTTGTATCGTATACAACCGTTTACTGATCGTTTTCTTCGACCGGGGATGTATCGAGTTCTCATCACCTCCACTGGCTTGAGATACATGCTAACTCTTAATCTTCCATAAATAAAACGGTACAGTTCCAGTCAATCTCGACAACACGAAAATCTATGTGAAAAGAACATTTTGAGTTTGTTATCGTGAATGATTATTGTGAGATTTACTATGAAAATAGTCAGTATAAACTTGTATCCAGGCAATTTTAGCTATTATCTCTTCTTACAGGCGCTTCATCTCAAGATTTCAAGATGCCTGTGTAGGTAAGATTTAAAAATACAAAAATGTATTTCTGTTATGTCAAAATGATCGCGCGTTGAAAAGAAACAATAACCATCGCTCTGCCACTTTCAAAGGTTGATGATACGCTATGATCGAGCTTTTTGTACGCTAAATACAACTAAAGCTTATAATTTTTTTTTCATAGATCTATATATCCTTTCCTGTGCGTCTATATACCTAACGATATTATTATATACTGCAATAAAAACCGTCAGTCTACGGTTCAGCGAATTGATTCTCGATTAGCGTTACTTGTGAAGTATCACTGTTGATAGTATAAGTTCTAACCTACTGATATTGAAGAGTTTTCATCTCGTCTTCATTAGTGTTCAAATAATACCTACTTGAAGTAAATACGCTTAGCGTTGTAATTACTGCATATATGCGTCTTCTATGCTCTAACTCTTTCCACCGGTCTCTTTCTTTCCATATCCAAAGACAATTATCAGTTCGATTTTGCAAAAAGCAAACTTACAACTTATAAACTTATCTATTGGTTTTATATCATTGTCAATTACATTATTGAAACTGTATTCTTGTAGTTAGTATTTCTTTTAAATTTCATTTTAGACAAGTGAATTTCCTTTTTGTTTACTTGCCGATAGAAGAAAATATTTCCTATTCTTATAGCCATCATCTGATTCATGATTTAAAAGTTATTTTAAACTATCCACTGGAATGATACACTGAAAATGAAATCTATCTTCAATGACTGAATAAAAATTTACTGAAGTGTTTGTCAAGTTAATACATTCTTCTTCTCTGTTTCTTATTTTATACCTCTGTCCAAAGTGTAATTATCAGATAAAGATTGTATCAATATAAAACAGTACAATTCTAAATATGAAACATACCTGCTGATGTAATAAAGACTAACAACAACAGTCCAAATTTTTTGCTAGAGATATTCTTCAGTTGGACCATCAAGTATCACTTCCGTTTTCTTCGTCAACGGCAATAAAACATTTGCTAGAAAGTGAATTGAATTTATAGTACGCTCTTTCGCGTTCTGTTGTTGCTTTAGATACTTTTTTGTTTTCTCTTGTTGATGAATGTTTGTCACGCATTTAGTGTTTTCATTTCGGTGGAATATTCTTCGTACTTCTGCTAAATTCAACGGTTGAATATTTCCCCAATAAAAAAAGGCAACAACTATGGTCTCGTCTAAAAGTATTGTGCAAAAAGGAATCAGTTTTTCAGTTGTCAAGTGGAAGAAAAACAAAAAGTAACTGATAAAATCGTTTCACTTTAGCCTGGTGCTGAGTAATAGAAAAGTGAATAAACGGAAGTAGACATCGACTTTTTGCCGATGCAACTGAGACATTTTGCTTATTTTTCTTGCACTCGAACTGCACATTTCGGTAGAATATTATTACTGAAGTTTTGTATTGAAAACAAACTGTAGAGCTTTCTATGGGCTTCACATAATCTGCAAAAACATTTAATGGTTTTTATAGCTCCATTTTCTTTCCACAATAATTATCATGAACATACCAGTAAAATGTTGTCATAATTTCTTTGTAGTTTTCGCTAGAAGAATATCAAAAATTTGAAAAAAGAAATATATTATTATGTAACAGAATAAAATTTATCACAATTTTTCTCATTGAACTCTTCACAAAAATAACATTTTTAGGTTTTTATGTTCATAGAAACATACAGAGAGCGGGCACTTAGTGTTTATTTCGAAACAATATTATTCATTTGCTTCATTTCAGGAGCATTTAAAAAGATATTTTCTTAAATATCGTTTGCTTTGCTTTTGCATTGAAGAAAATATCAAAGTATGAACTATTTCGTTATCATTTGTCTAGTTTTTTCTTCAGTGATATAAGAGATCCTGAAAAATATTATCTAGTGAGATTACTTTACCGCTTTATTCTCATCCATGATATATTTAGTATAAGCAGGGAATAATCCAGACGTCTGTGTGGATTGGCTTGTTAAAAATAACGTTGATGATATATTTTCAATATATCGACTGAAAATCTTTCTAATTAAAATATAGATGCCAATAGATAGAAAATTGAAGCCTTTTTATAGTTTACGATCTTTTGAGAGACATGAATAATAGTAATCGCCTTCTTAGTGCTTTATGATTGTAATTACATTATATGTTCGGTTAAGTGATCTTTATTCATCACCATCAATTTTTTCATGTTCATAGTCTCACTTATACCATGTCCTGTGATGACAAAGGATAGAGTCTAATAAAGTCGTAGTAGAATGAAGTTGTCAAAAATATTTTTTTCCTCTGTTTGAATGTTTTGACAATCAGGTTGCATATGTAAATAAATATTTTATGTTTCATTCCTTCTTTACGATGCCTGAAACCGTGTTAATCATTGAAAAAAAAACTTCATCTACTCTTCGTTTCTGAATAAAATCAACTACGAGGTTGTCAATCACTTTAAAGTTTCTTTTAAATAAATAATAAAACAGCCATTCAGTTTAAAAAAACGTTGAACATATAATTGACAAAATCATTCTATCATCCCGAAAAATATACGAAGCCTTATAAACACCGGCTAAAGCTCTGTGTTATTTGAAAAACATGCAAAAATATTTTGCGGATAAGTGAAAATGGTTTCGTTTTTGTGCTGATGTTCGGAAGTCTTTTAATTTAATGTAATATAAATTAGATTTTCAGGCTATCCGTCGATGCGTATCAAAGAACAAATATTCTGGATGTCATTCTCAAAACACAATTCTTATGAAAAATTCAAAACGATTACAATCAATCTCTAGATAATACAGAATCCTACTAGAAATCAGTAGTGTCAAACTTGAAATTTGAATTCAGTTGAAAATAGAAAATTTCAACTTTCAACGTATGGCAATATATGTGTAAGTCACCGTTCTTCAAAATGCTATTGGTTTAAAAGTTGAAAATTAAAAATTAAAAATTTCAATTGAATTCAAGTTTCAAGTTGGACATATATGCTAGAAATGAAGAGCCATTTCATTGCGATTTCAAATAAATAGTGGCTCTATAATTCGTACTGTTATCAATTGAGAATATCCAATATTAAGTAGTAGAAATGCAAACGAATTCTTATTTCCTCGACTGTAGGGAAGGTCATATGAAAAAAAATGCGTTTGTATGTTTGTGCCACGTCATAAAAACATCCGTTATCGTTGACGTTATTTATAAGCTTCTCAGTTTTTCTATAAAACTATACTATAGGCTTTCGGCGTCACGGAATCCTAATCTGAAGTCACATTTTAGAAATTTTGTGTTCAGTTTTTGGGATGAAGGAAATGCTCTTTTGAGAAAGCGTTGATATTCTATAAAGGTTGACGAAAGCAAACCGAGGTCGAGGAATCCGAATCTGAAGTCAGATTTTAAAAATCTCGAAACGAATTTTCTAGGACGGGGTGAGCATGATAAATTCCTATTTCCAGGAAATTCAAAATGCACCACACACTATAATAAATTGGTAGCACTTAGATAAAAATGTGCATACAAACGATGTTCTTCGCTTAGGTTTTTATCAAGCCATATCATACATTATAATATAATGTAAGAGTCATTTATATATCAGTATCAATTCTGTCTATATCCAGTTGAATATGTATAGGTTGTATACAGATTTGGTGGGATGGGATGGGTTGGGACTAGTAATGATAAATACATCTGCATAAAATACATTTTGTAGAAGTATATATGAACTATATACTTCTAACTGCAACAGATTGAATTAGATTAAAAAGGATACCGTCGGATTTCATCGTAAGTCTGCCACCCCCTTGTTTTTAATCTCAATAGTTTGTAAAGATGTAGCTTGAAATGTTTCATATTTCTGTTTATTTCGTTGGGTTCCAATTGAATGACAAAATAGTTTTTGGAGTTGAACTAGTCTCAAGGTTTATATCACTTTTGCATATTTCGGGCGATATGTATGATACCAATATGTTCTTCGGTTGTGTATTCTATATGAAAAATAATAGTGTAGATTGGCGCAGTTTTTTACGCTCTGAAAAACAATTTCTTCCTAAAGGTTATTAGTAATTTCTCTATCAAATAGTATAGGATCGAACATGTGAAATATTTCACATGTTTGACCTTACACTATCTGGTAGAAAAATTACTGATAAACTTGAGCAATATATCATTGTGTAGAGCGTGAAAAACTGAATCGATCCACGCTATCAGTTTTCATATAGAATACACAAAAGAAAAAAATATGTGTACCATACATACCGCCAAACAAACCAAAAAAGAGATAAACATCCCCTGACTTGTTCAACCACAAAAAATCTTTTTGTCATTTAATTAAAACCAAACGAAATAAAAAGAAATGTTCAAAATATCAAGTTGTATCTTTCTATACTTTTGAGATTAAAACCTAGGGGGTGGCAAACTTACGATCAAATCCGACGGTATCATTTTTAATCTAATTCAATCAGTTGCAGATAAAAGTAGATAATACATAAATGCATCTACAAAATGTATTTTATGCCGGTGTATTTATTATTATTGGTCCCAACCCAACCCAACCCAACCCACTACTTATCTGGAAGCCAACTTCATTTTGCTACTCTTTATAATAAGAAAACTAGTACGCGATTATTTTATAAAGCATTCAATTGAATTTCCAGGAAATTTTTCTTCTAGTCATTTTATTTGAATTTCCGAGCAATAGGAATTTACCATCGCATGCAATACGTGGCATCATTAAAAAAACGACAATGAAGCACAGGATGGATGGGTCCATGGTGCTCGAATGTAAGGTATCCCGCCCAACTATCCGCCGAAATCCATACTATGAACATTAACAGCAATACTCCACTAATATTACCCGGTATGGTAGCAGGAAGGCGTACCAAATTACTCATCGATTCGGGAGCATCACTCACCCTAATTAATCTTCAATTTTTTCTGCAATTACCACACTATTATCGTCAAAAAGCACAGTCTCCTCCTCCAAATTTATGCCTTCAACTGGCAGATAGATCACAACTATATGTCAAATATGTCTTATCACTCCCAATTACTATTTCAAACTCAACACGAGGACATAGAATATATGTAGTCCCAAAATTATGGCGCTCGTGCATAATTGGTAATGATCTCATTCGTAAACACAATCTTCAAATAGACGGTGGACATCAATATGCGTATTTCAAATCAAAGAAAAGCGCACAGCTGCAACAGGAAAGGAAAGAAACAATCAACAATGACGACAACTACGTGTTGATTGCCAACGAACGCATTATAATTTCACCATTACATGTATTTAACATTGAAGTTAAACCAATCAAGCCATTCTTAATTACAGAAGATGACGAAGAAAATGAATATGAAGTAACATCAATAAAAGAAGCTCCATGTGTAGCTAACGATATCATTACACCACGTCAACATATGACACTACAGTTGGCTGACTTAACAGAAAGAACGATTATAATCTATAAAAATCAACCGCTCGTAACAATGACTCGTCTTAATCAAACGCAATTAAACATGATGCAACATGGAACGATATCATCAGCAACAAAACAGATGACGTCAACAACAGATAATGAATTAAATTTAATCAACACCGATTTAGATGAATATCAGAAAGAAAAAATAAAATAACTTATTCACAAATTTCCTGATGTGTTTAATGAACAATCAGGAAGAACAAAAAAATTACAGCATCAAATTAATTTAGTACCAGATGCACAGCCGATTAATTCACCACCGTTTCGATATGCACCAACAAGAAAACAAATTATCGAAGAACACTTAAATGAAATGTTAGATCAAGAAATTATCTCACCATCAAAAAGTCCATGGGCATCACCAGTAATATTAGTACCAAAAAAAGATGGAAGTTTACGTTTTTGTGTCGACTACCGAAAATTAAACACAGTAACAATTCGTGATGCATATCTACTGCCAAGAATAGATGATACACTAGATTCATTACAACAAGCAAAATTTCTGTTGACACTTGATTTACGCTCCGGATATTGGCAGGTAGAAATGGACAAAGATTCAAGACAAAAAACCGCCTTTGTAACACATAAAGGCCTATTTGAATTTAATGTTATGCCGTTCGGATTAACAAATGCACCAGCAACATTTCAACGATTAATGGATATAGTATTAGCTGGTCTCAAGTGGCAATGCTGCCTCGTATACATAGATGATGTGGTAATTTTTTCTCCAACATTTGTACAACATATGACGGATTTAGAAAAAGTCTTTCAAGCTCTTCAAGCCGCAAACTTGACATTGAAAGCAGCAAAGTGCCAATTCTGTCGGCGAGAAATGCGTTATTTGAGACACATTATCACACAAAATGGCATTAAACCAGATCCAGACTTAATCAAATCTGTAACAAATTTTCCACAGCCGCAGAAGATCAAAGATGTTCAATCATTCCTAGTTTTAACTGGATATTATTGTCGATTCATCAAGGATTGCTCAAAAATAGTGGAACCACTGTTACAACAGCTCAGAAATTCTCAACAAGTTAATCATCAGTTGAAATGGTCAAAAGAATGCACCAATGCTTTTGAAACATTGAAAAAAAGATTAACAAACGTGCCAATTATGAACACACCAAATTTTGAACAACCATTCATATAGACTGAGTTATGAATCTCAAGGGAAAAATAAATAATCTAATAGGATTTTGGGAAAATCAGAAAAAACTCATTAAATTTAAAAATAAATAAAAAATAATTCTTCTTTGAGTATGACAAATCAACATGAATTTCAGATTTTAGAATAAATTGTAAAAGTATAATTTTTTGTTTTTTGAAATATACAGTATTAAAAAGAATAAGAGATGTATAATTTGTTTTTATTATTTTATTTTAATTTTTCATATAATTCTAGTATTTTTGAAAAATGCAAGAACAAAAATGAAGAAAAGAAAAAATAGAAACAAGAAGAGAAATAAGAGAGAACAATAGCACTAATCGACGATCTTGCTCTATTCTTTCCAGGTTCTTATTTTTCTTGGTTTTCAGACAAGATTCTTTTTCCATTCCTTCTATACAAGTTTCTTGTCTGAAAAAAACTGATCTTGCCTTTCTGACAAGATTCGTGTAGACCGAATCTTGACTGGTGAGGCAAGAAGTTCTTCTCCAGGCAAGATTCTTGTATTCTTGCTTTCTTGCCTGATTCTTGTTTTTCTTAGATTCTTGTCTGTTTCTTATTTCTTGTGTTTCTTGTCTGATTATGGTCACATTAAAAAAGCCTTTTGTAGGTTATTATTACTCTCTTTTTCATATCATTTTATTATAAACTTTGCACACCATGTACAAAAAAGCGTAAAAAAAGAAAAAAAAAACTTTTAATTTCACATTCTATTAAAGCAGTTTCAGTTTTTAACACAAAAAAACATAAAATTTTCGTTAATACCAGATGAATATTGATGTGATGCATTCTAAAAAAAAGAACAGTGTAAAAATTTTTATTTTGAACTAGCTCGATTAAAATAAGTTATGTGCAATTTGTTCAACTAGTAAATGACGTAGAGATACTTGAGTACGATGATGTTGATCTTTTTTCTTAGCACGCCATCGACGTTTTTTATCTGTATCTAGTGATGACTCTAAAAAAATATAGTATGCAACTCAAAAAGATATAAAGTGCGTATAGATATTACCTATATACCAAGAGCATTCTCAAACGATAATTTTTTGAACGAATCGAGATTCCCTTCGTCCATTAAAAAACAACACTTTTGTGAATAATAAAAGAAAATCTAAAAATAATAAAATAGAAAGATATGGATTAGTAAAATATCGAAATGTTTTCAAAAAGTGTCAGCTTTTGGAAAGCAATGGAAAAAAGATACAATATATTTTACTGTTTTCTCGATATCAAATGGAAACTTTTTCTATACATCCAATTGAAATAATGAGTTGCTTGATGTCGTTTGAATAAAACGAACGCTTTAGGAAAAGTACACATTCAGAATGAATTGTACTACCTATCGAATCAATAATGAATAAATAACGTTCAGATATTGCCCTTATATATTTGATCATACAAAGACCACATCACGTGTCGTTGATCTTGAAAAGCTGGCAAGAATCGTTTTCTTTCCAATCATAAGAATCTTGTCTGAATAGTAAGAAATTTAAAATATCTTATATTTCTTTCCAGTTTCTGTTTTTTCATAATTTTCAGACGAGATTCTTTTGATCTTGAACTTCAGACAAGATTCTTTTTACTTTCCTGTCGAAAAGAATCTTGCCTGAATACAGGAAACTTGTCTGAAAGTAAAGAAAACAAGAACCTGGAAAGAATAGAGCAAGATCGTCGATTAGTGAGGGAAAAGGAAATAGTTAAATTAAATATATATATATAACGCGAGGCCTTTCTATTTCTTTTTGTTCATTTTTGTTCTTGCATGTTTCAAAAATACTAGAATTATATGAAAAATTAAAATAAAATAATAAAAACAAATTATACATCTCTTATTCTTTTTAATACTGTATATTTCAAAAAACAAAAAATTATACTTTTACAATTTATTCTAAAATCTGAAATTCATGCTGATTTGTCATATTCAAAGAAAAGTTTTTGTCAAATTGTTTTTTCAATAAAATGTTTCTCTTAATAAAATTTCTCCCGCAATTAAATGTTTCTATTCTATGTTTCAATTTAAATTGCTATATTGTATCAATTATTCTACATTCTCATTAGTCTCCTTTAATTAAATTCGAGTAAGGATGTATGCGACGAATTGTCTTGCGACGAATTGACTGTGAGACGTATTGTCCATGCGACGAGTTGTCTGCAACGAATTGTCCGCGACGAATTGTCCAGTCACCGAAAAAATATAATTACAGCGAAAATTGGTGTCATCATAGTAATAAGCTTCAATACTGTGTTGATTATTGAATAGGTAATAATTCTGAAAAGAATCTTTTGAAGTCGCATTCTTCCTCCTCCTAGGAGCCCTAACAACCAGGATCGATAGATTCGAAAATAATTTTATAGCAATATAGAGCAAAGAGTAAGGATGATTTACTTAGAAGGTTACTAAACAGTTCATTCAATGTATCTATATATCAGGCTAATATCTAGGTTGAATCCATAGAAAGATATTTATTGATTTGGATCTCATTTATGCATCGTATCTATTGTCATTAGAAGATAATTATCGTTTATTTGACATTTTTGTAAATATATTATAGTAATCCTACAGATCAAACAGCATTCATTGAACTGAAGTGAAAAGGGTTATTTTTTTCTCAGTATAAATTCATGTCGAAGACTTGCTAACTACTAGAGTTTATAATTGATCTTGATGTCACAGATATAGNTTTATCATATATTCTTTTCTTAAATTTAGATAGAGGTAAAATGAAACAAACATCTATCGCTTACAGAGACTCTAAAGAAACAAAATTTCTTCGCCAATTTAACTTGATCTATTCACTTATATTGAACATCTTAAAGAATCTGATGTCATTAGTTGCACGACAACGCGATTTTTAACACAAGCACGTCCAAATGCGTTTCATATTTGTTCGAAAACGCACTCAAACGCATCTTATATTACATTGCGTTTGAACGCGTTCAGTCGAATTTGACTAACTGCGTATAAACGCGATTTCAATATGAAACGCAATGAGACGCGGTTAATATTGATTTCAAATTACGTTTAAATCGTTGTGTTAAAAAACTGCGTTCAAATGCGTTTCAAAAATTTTCTAATTGCGTCTCAATGCGTTTCATATTGAAAACACATTGGAACGCATTATAAAACCGTTTTCCGCGTTTCAACGCATCGATTCTGCGTTTCGTGTTTACATGGGTAGTTAGTATAATCGAAGAAGACGATTTTAGTATGATTAGAACTAGAACCAACAATGACAGTAGCATGATATAATTACACATAGAAAAAAAAATACGACGAATTAGTTAGATTGCAATGTTCATTTTTAAGAATTATAAATAGGTTTCTACACTTAAAAAAATGACTGATGAATTCATTCATAAGTTATTGTCAGTAAATATTAAAAATTCATCATTTTAGTGCACTGCTTCATCAAAATTTAATCATTGCGTTCTCATTATTACCATTAGTTAAAATATTCCTAGGGTCCCAAAAATTTTAACAAAAAAATGTATCTTCATTGAAAAATAATAGCTACCTAAATACTTCTAGTCAGTAATATATAAAAAAATTTTAATTAAATATTTTCAGTATTAAAATAATCATTTAGAATATTTTCTTTTTTAGTTACATTTACTGCCTCCTGTAATGTTGAGAAGTTATTTATGCCCAGAAAAACGAGCACGTTGAATGTCGTTAATATTTAAATTTAATAAAATACAAATAAAGATTATTAATACTTAGCAATCTATAACATTTTAAAAGTTTACCTATGATGATTTTGTTGTCAACACGAATATTGATACGTTCTTTTAGGATGTCTTTATTCTGAAGAAAACCCATATTTTTCGCTTCATGCATATTAGCAGAAGAGTAAACACTAACTAGAATTGCGTGTCTCTATGGAGAAATACTTTTTCTTAAGAAAAAAAGGTTTCTCCTTGCGTAGGTGTTTTGCATAGAATACTCGACGTTCATTTGTTTTTGCATAAGAGAAAGTAAAGAAAACGAGAGACATATTTAGACATCAGAATTTTCTTAATGCCTATACTATGTTCCGTTTTCAATAAAAATCATTCTTTCATCAGGTAACTGTGCATATCATTACATTTTGAGACTTTCAAAGATAGTAGAATATGAACGTTCGCAGTATTATTATTTGTTGGGTTAACTAGTTCATTCGTTCACAGAAAATCGATATCAATTAAGCACCTGAAGATTTTTTTCCTCTTGAAATTTTAGTTCATTTCGTCCACTTTCAGGATGATAAACATACGTATATAGTCTACAAACTGAAAGCGTCTAATCATAATTTTTTGAAACATAATGATTTGATTTCGTCTTTTAACAAAAAAATTCATACCAACGCTCGAAGTAAGTATTATATAGGTCACTGTGAAATAATCGATTCTCTTCCTTGTTCGAATACATTTTGTGTCAAATACTAATGTAATTTAAAAATGAACGAAGCCCCATGAGTAACAATACTTGCTAAATTAACACTGTGTTGTGATATTTTACGTTCTTTTGTTATACCTAATTGCCGAACAATCTGACTATTAGATAGATACTGTTTGAGAAAAATAAGTTATATATTGGTTTAGTTCTTCATTTTTCTCTTCAGACACAGATTATTGTATTTTTACAGATATTTGATCTATATTTTGATTTAAGTTTGTGAAAAAAATAATGATAAATTAATTTTTCATAGTTTTTATTCATAATAGAAGTAAACAAAAATACGTCCCTTTATCACACAAATTTCCAACAAAAGTAAAATTAATTTTAACAATGAAAATTAGCCTATCTTTTAAAGCCAGAAAACAACTTGAATTAAGTGGCTTTTGAAAAAAAGGCAACTTTTGTAAATCAATTAATCTTTTTCTATTTTAGATAAAATTGCTTTTACTTTCCATCATGGAAGCGTTTGATGATTTTGTTTTTCACTGGTAGTGATATTGTGATTCGGTAAGATTTATTTCGTAAATGAATTGATATTTTTTGTGGA